TTCATAACATCAAGTTGTCCCTGATTCTTTCCTCACTTGTTCCTTTAATTATCTAATCAATTATCTACTTTATAAAGTGTTACAGTCAGGATTTGTCTGTGAAAGGTGACAATATGTCAATGGTGTTGTAACAGTTTGGGTCCACGTTTCTTGGTTATTCCTTGTTTTATTCGTCGTTCATTACCAACATATCAACCTTATCAAGCGTGATAATATTATTATTGGAGGTTTAATGACTTTAATTAAGGTACAGGGCTTTCTGAGATCTGAATCAAAAGTAAGAGGACAAACTACTGGTATCATTTGTCCAGAAATCTGGCGCTGACGAAGAGATATAATAAATTATAAACACTCACTGCTCGGTTTAAATGAGCTCTAACGTGTGTGTTTCAATCCCTGGATGAGGTGAGTAACGGTGGGAGCGCGATTAACATAATACATGAGATCTACATGTATTCAGGGGGTTTCATGGAAGCTCTTTTCATTTGGGGTTTCTTATGGACCCTCAGTGTGTGTGTGTGTGTGTGTGGTGTGTGTGTGTGTGTGTGTGTAGATGGTTTCTTAATAAGAAGGTCCTCAGACACACACACACACACACACACACACACACACACACACACACACACATATTGGTCAAATGTTAATGATTTATTAATTCTCTGGGTTTAAATCTTAGGGTGTTTAAATTTTTGAACCTGGCAGATGGACAGAATACTGATTGAGAGAGTGAATAAGAAGAGGTGGAGGAAGGGAAGAAGAGGATGAATGGTGATGATGAAGAGAGAGAGAGAGAGAGAGAGAGAGAGGGAATTTAAAAAATTAGTTCTTAAAAATAATAACCATGTCATGGCCTGATTGGTTTGGTTTTCCCATATTTAACTCAGTGGACTGGGAAATGAGAGAAAGACGGAGAGGAATGGTGGCAGATTGAAAATGAAACAAAAGACTGTGAATGAATAAAAGAGAGTAACAGTGGAGGAGGAGGAAGGGGGGATGGGGAGAAAGAAACTAAATGAAGAACAGGAAATGTGGATTCAACATTACATAAAATAACTTGTTTTACTCTTTTCATGTTTGGATCCGTCACACAAGATATATACTATAGATAGTCTGTGAGTGTAGATCAGACAGCTTTACAGTCGTTGGTCGGCATTTTACTTTCACTTCTGACAGAGTCTTTTTGTTTTTATGTTAAGACTCAATCTTTCTGTCTGACTCGTGGTAAGAAACTAATGAAGTTCTCCTCCTGGCAGAGAGCATCTAAACATTTTACATAAAGTCAGAATCAGAATCAGAATTACACCTATGAGGAATGTGTCCTGGTGCAATTGGTGCATAAAATGTACAAATACTTAATTTTTACACACAGGAAAAATTAAGTACTTTCAAAATATAAATAGATAAAGATAAGAAAGATAAGAAAAGAAAACTGTGCAGAAGACGGGGGTGCATCAATGTCATGCATACTGTATATACAGGGTGGGTATAAGAGTCAGTGACAAAGGGGGTACCGGGCCTTGTTAATGAAACCAGCTGCAGACGGGAAGAAACTGTTTTTGTGGCGAGAGGTTTTGGTCCTGATGGACCGCAGCCTCCTGCCAGAGGGAAGTATCTCAAAGAGCCAGAGTACCAGTATGTTGAAAAATGGCATTATGTTTTTCTGTGTGGTAAAGCTGCACATGGACGTAAAGATAATGATGGACACCAAACTCCTCCCCCTGGCCAGCGACTGTCCAATCATAGCTTAGCAATCATATCGCAGCGTGGCGATAACATGACGAGCTTTAGATTTGTCACATAAAGATGGATTTGTACTCCACAGACTAATTAACGCACTCCTACGATACTGATCCACTACCGGTGGATATTGTCTGATAATAAAAATCAAAACTTGGTTGCCTACATTACCCACAATGCCACTCATCCATTGACAGTTGTGTCAGAGATTTGTGTGTGCAGTGCTAGCAATGCCTTTGCAGTAGCTTGCTGGTAGTTCAACTACATTCATATTTGTATTGGTTCATGTAGTTTTTTTTCTATATTCTGTGTAATTGATTACAATCAATAAAAGAAAAAGGAAATATTTACTACTTTAATTTCTCACCTTACCTGTGAAAAATATCTAGTTTTAGTTTTTAATGATTTAAATCAGAATTTGTAAAACTGAACATGAATGTATCAGGTGTCAGTTAGTCATATTGATTATTTATTACTTATTATGTGTTTATTATTAAGTGTTGTTGCATGCCAGGTTACCAAGCTAACAGTCCTCCTCCCTGGACTCTCTGGAAGGTGTCTGACTTTTGGCTTTATTGATCACCTGTGAAAAAGTGGAATTTTTATTATATTTTATATCCCATGTACTTCGTCAGTTTGATCATTTTTTTACAGAGTAGTTTGAACTATTTCTTCTGAGTAGCTTTAGTGGTTGCGTTGCCATAGGTCAACTTCCTCCAGTGTGAAGTGATTAGATACAAAGCTTTCACAGTAGCTTCCCCAACACTGTCAAAATCAACAGTCTCTCTGCAGCTGCTTTTCATGACCTCCTGTCTTAAATCAAGGACCCATTATTTACCATTTTTGTCATTATTGGACAGAAAACAAACGTATTATTTACATGTTAAATGGCAAAAACAAGTCAGAGTCTCTTGACATTGTGATGGTGGCCACAGAGAGTTATGACCAGTTTGCTTCCAGTGTTACTTTACAGTTTAATCACACAACGCCACGGTGAGACAACAGTTTTCTTAACATGTAACTGAATAAGTATAACATCCTGTGTAGCTTGCAGTAAACATCTGTGTAGGTTTAGGTGTGAGCGCTGCAGAGGCACCAAGAAAAAAAACTCCACTAACAGCTGAACCGGCACCAGAAAAGAAATAAAATCTGTGGTTTGCCTCATTACACCAGCCTTTAGCTCGGCCTCAGACAAGAAGTAATGAGCAGCGGGACAGCCAGTCATTAGCCTAAATAGCTGCAATGGCAAAGGAAAGTCATGTTGCTTTCAGAGGGCGACGTTTAAACCTCTGTGAGAAAACGTGGAGCTTCCCCCCCCGGGAAAAAATGATTCACAATTATACTTCAAACTCCTCTGAATTAAACATGACACTGGCCTGCATCTTCAATTGATTGTTATTGCTCGTAGGTCGGAGAAGACACAACCATGTTACGGGTTGTGATATAATCGTATCTATTATTCACACTGAAATGATCTCTGAGCACAGAAACTGATTCGGGAAGGTCCATAAAGAAAATACTGTAACATGCACTTTGATTTCATGCTTCTGGTGCATGTATATGTAAGTGTGTGTGAAGCCCTGCAGCAGGATCTGAAGCTCACAATGATCTGCACAGAGAGAGAGAGAGCAGGAAGAAAGAAGGACTTAATATGAATTCAGGATTATAAAACTCATAAAACCCGGAGGAGACTTTCAGTCCTGATTGAATGTTTATTGACATAAAAACCTGTGTCCCCTCTGACGGCGGCGAGAGGTTGAGACACTTTACAGAGTGAACATTTCATAATAAAAAAACAGCTCTGCTGGCAGTTTTCATTGTTGACAGAGAAACACATCGAGAAAATATTTATTTTAAATGGATTTAAAGTTCATAAAGGTATAAAGCTTCTGTTGGACTGTGTGTGCTTGAAAAAATAAAACTATTGTAAATTTATTTTGACAAAGTTGTTTTATTGTTATTTATTTTGTGAGTAGTTATGCAGTTGTTGTAATGATGTTAATAAAGTAATGTAACTCTAATTGGCAGGGATGAAACTATGAGCGTATTTAATGTTAATAAAAGGTCATAATGATGATAAATGATAAATAATATGGGAAAATGTGGGTCCCAAGGTGAGACCTGTTGAGATTCACTTACACTCATTTCTACAGGTTTTGAGGTTTATTGGACCCAAATAGATTCAGTAATTCTAAAATCAATACTCTTTTCTTTGGGCTTAGATGGTGATACTCTCAGGTCTGTTTTTATTTTATTTTCTATTTTAAAGGATAAAGTTTTTTCTTATTGTCAACAAAGATGAAACTAAAACAAAACAATGTGCTAATCTCTCAATTCCTTCCTGGAGATACAACCTGGGTTAGGAACTTTTTTTTGACTGAGGTGGCACCAAACAAATATAATATAAAGCTTTCATACTACCATACCTTATTGTCAATATACCAGCCTCTGTCTCAGCACCCTTCTTCTCTGATGGAGATATCACACGTACTGTAAAGTTTTTAAGTAAAACTACATTTTGTAAGTTCAAAAAAACTTGATTAAGTAGCTTTAATACTTTAAGTGAGAATGACTTAATTTTGTAATTTCTATTAATACTTAATACAAAATACCTCGTAAAAGTCTGTTTCTGTTACCGCCACTTAAAATTATTAGTAAAAGGGACTTAATCGAGAATCTTTTTTAACCTAAAAAGTTTGTGTTACTCAAAGATTTTCATGTGATCAGATTCAACAATGTTTTGTTTTTTAAATGAACTTCTCTGGTTCTACAGTGTACAATAGTTTAAGAGTTTAAACTAACATACGACTCCACAGTGAGCTGGAGCCTGAACTCAATGAAACATCCGCACCAACATGCTACAAATCTAAAAAACATTAAAGGTATATTTACAAGAGACACAGGTAAACAGTCACAACATACTGCTTCACATTTATTGATTTCTTCACATTCATCTGTTCCTCCTCCTCGTCTCTCCCCGTCATTAACAAATCTCGGGTTAAACAGTGTTTTTCCCCCCGAGCTGAATTACCGTAATTGTGTGATATGTAATCAGTAACTCCCCCTGCATGTTCCTCACTGTCCCTCTGACAACTGCTGTTCATTTATAAATCAAATAAAAGTCTTAATGTGTTCTTTTAATCAGTCCATCAATCAGAAATAAGTGAATATCCTAACAGAAAACTATTAATTCTTCCTCTCTAGTGTTACACAAGTTCTGCGCTGTGTTGACCAATATTTAGACCCTGAACATGGACTCTGAACCCAAACAAACGGGTTGTTGATTTTGCTGTTTGTGCCGTTTTAAAAAACCTCTTCTTCGTGAGCTGAAAGTCATTTTCTTCTCGTTCACAGGTGAGTGTTTGATAACTCAACACGTCTACGTACATTAATATGTTTTTATATGATTTATGTCATAATTTCTATCTTATTGGTCTCATTTTAAGTCATTTTGTTAGTAATTCCTAAAACAAGAATAAGACATCAGGCTGGTTTTTTTATTATGAAAAATCTCTTGACCCCAAAAAAAGAACGCAAAAAATATGCAGAGGTGATATTTTGAAACGTATTATTCCTTTATGTTACTAAGTTAATTCCCTGCCTTTCATCCAGCAGTGACAATATTATGAATCTCTCTCTTTTTGTTTTAATTTTCAGACGTTGCTTCCAGTCACGATGAGGAGCTCTGTGGTGTTCTGCCTGGCTGTCAGCTTTGCCATGTTTGGATGTGGTAAGAATAATAAAAAAAAAGGGGGTTGAAGAAGGAATCAGTGTTGCTTTCATCAACGCTCGCTTCTTTTAAAAGCGCCCGGCGAGTGGAGCTAAGTCAAAGAGATTATATGTTTCATAAAGAGGAAACATCAGCCTGAGGGAACATTTTGGCAGATCAGTGTGCCGTTTACATGTTCTGTCTGCTCACATTTGCAGAGTCAGTGATAAATATTCATTCATCACATTTTTCTATGATGTGTCAGGACATGCAGTTCACTGATGTGTTGTTTTTTTTTGGGAGGGGGGGGGTTTGCTTTATTGACAAGATTGTATATTTATGAAATACAACAAATCAGGGACGTCCTTTGTTGGGGGGTAGAGCGATAAAAGCTCTTGCCTTCTTTGGTGTGCCGCAGTCATTCTGCTTCAGGGTTGAACATCCAACTTTTCACTTCCTGACATTAAATCCCTCAATTTCATCAACCCAAAACAAAAGTATACAAAACTTTCTCTTTATTTATTTGGCTCACATCACAATAGAAAAATGCTCAAGTGTTTCAGCACAGCTGTTTGGCAAGGACGGGTATTTCTCCTCCTTCACTGGATTTCTGGCTTCCTGTTATTGAAGCACAACCTCCTTTTCCAAAATAGTTTGTTCATATCTTTTAGTTTTTATAATATTTATAGTTATGAGTCAAACATTTGAGGTGTTTGTCTGTATAATCTGTATATAGTTTTGCCTTCATTCAGTGTAACATGTGTAGTTTTTCTACATTTGGTCAGGAAAACGGACAAGAAAACATCATGGAGATGCAAAATAAAGTCACATCATAACAATGATGGTATTACATTGTCAGATACCAATTAATTAAAAAGTAAAGCAAAAAAGCCAGATATCCACATTATGTTTAGCAGCTGTGATAGTTTAAATGTGATGATATTTATATTAAATGAACACACTGACTGTCTTTGTTTCCCCAGGCCTCTCTCTGCTGTGTTACTCCTGCCCTGAAGGATCCACCGAGAGCTGTGAAGTCCAACAGGAGTGTAGCCAAGGTGAAGACAGCTGCCTCAAACTCACCAGTGGTGGTAAGCATCGTTAACAATAACCAAATCCAACAGGATAAAGTTGTCATAAAACTAACCGTCGGGTTGGAGCGTGAGTGCAGGGCGAGGTGGAAACGTCAGGGTCAGTAACGGAGGGAACAATGTAGTTATATGGACGAAGAGGATAAAATAATATTAATCTGAATATTTACGTTCAAATACTGATCTGTGTTCAACATTCATATACATATCATCAATGGTATTTATTATTATTAATAATCATTATAATGCTACTGCTACTAAACAAATTAAATCCAAAGAAACAGCTCCGATTATTTAACTCTTTTTCTTCAAGAAGTCTTTGTTTGCAGGGAATTTACACACTGAAACTTATTAAACCTTCACTTGTGATATAAAATACATATTTTGAGGTATTTCTTCAACCTGGTATCTGCTGTAATAATAATAATAATAGTAAGACTAATGCTGACTAATTCTGTGTCTCCCCTTTAGAAAATACCTACACTCATTGTGTGAGGTACGCAGATTGCGACTTCAGGACTCTGGGATCCAGATATTATCGCCTCTCTAGTTTCACCTTCTCCTGCTGTCAGTCAAAACTCTGCAATGGCCCCAAAAAAAGTGGAATAGGTCAGACACTTAAGGAACTTCTTGGTTAAGAAAAAGTATCATGTGGAAACTGTTAAACACTCAACAATAAAGTCTGAATAAAAACATTTGCCTCAGTTTGTCCATGAAACACTTGTTTACAGCTGTCTTTGCAGAGGAAGTATTGACATTAAAGTGTTGATGCTAAGGTCAATAAAGCAACAGTGAGACATGTTTGACTTCTCTGAAGAAGGAAACCACAGATCATACGTGTGTAAAGGTCTCATCCACTACTTTCTGGTCTGTATTAAACTGTATTATATTCATATTAGACCAGAAAGATCAAGAAAGACGGACAAAGGAAAACAAATCCTGCAGACTGACATGTTAACACCATGATGCTGTTTGTGGCTCAGTGGGCTGAAACACACACACCGCCTCCACTCGGTGCCACGTGTGATGTCTGGATTCAAACCTGTGATTTCAAAAAGCCTCTCAGTCAGATCCGTAAACCTGCTGAAGCACAACAACAGCTTAAAAACAGTCTGAAGAAGAACATCAAATGTCTTCAGCTGCCCTTGAGTTTCCGTTTCCCCCCTACAGACGATTACAGAATAATGTGTGTGTGTGTGTTGTAACGGCCTGTTTCTGCAGCAGTGAGTGAGTACAATGTCTTAATTTGTTGACTTTAATTAAAAGAAGGACAACATCTGTTACCTGAAAACATATGTGTGTGTGTGTGTGTGTGTGTGAGTATTATTTTATCCCTGCGACTCTCATTTATTCTGGACAAAATACAGATTTATTTTTACGTTAGAAAGTCAACATGTAGAGAATCATTACAAGTTAATGTGCGTCAAAGCAAGGGATGCTGTTTTATTCAAAATATATACTGTGTGTGTGTGTGTGTGTGTGTGTGTGTGCGTGTGTGTGTGTCTGCATGCTACAACCCTGCCCAGGTGGCTAGATAATTAAAAACATTTCTCACACTTGATTTTACATCGAAATCTCAATGCTAACATCTGGCTGAGCGAGGCAGCAAGACCAGGTGTGTGTGTGTGTGTGTGTGTGTGTGTGTGTGGGACTGAGAAAGAAAGACTAAAATGGTTGTATTGGGTGAAATCATTTGGTTAGAATATAACAAAGATTAGTAAATAAGATGTATTAAGTCTTTACTGCAGCGGGGTTCAGTTCCAACCTGCAGACCTTTGCTGTATATCTCCCCCCTCTTTCTCCCCTTTCTTGTCAATCTTCATCTGTCCTATCTAATAAATGAATACAAAGCCACAAAATATATACATATAAAGAAATAATATTAGTCCTTGAGAGCTCAACACATAAGAAAAAATGAATACACAGAAGCAAATGCAGAAGTTTGAAAACACATCCAACAAATAAAAGTCATCCACCATAGTTTAAAGGGACCAAACATGTCCATGATATGATGTTTTATTCCTTAATATAACTCACACACTATCATGTTGTGAGTAGCAGACAGAGTTTGAAACTGATGCATAAAAAACACAAATGAGTCCATAAAGATTCACAAGAATGGAGGAAATGAAGTTACCTGACATTTAAAACCTCATGGGGGACGATCCCCAGACCCCCTCTCGCTTGTTTTGTGTCCCCCAGGCATCGGGCTGCTGGCAAGTTGTCCCTTATTTGACGGCAGCAACCTTAGTCAGTTAATTCATCCAGACTCCCGAGGCTGCACTGGCTGGTAAATTATCTGGTTGGTGGTTTACAGGTTGTCAGCTGGCGTTGTGGAGCGGTGCAGCTGGGTTGCAGCTGGCTCGCTAACATGATCACTAGTAAAAGTACTTCACCAGTCTCATGGCACTCTCCTGTTTTTTTTGGTTTCTCTTGGGTAACCTCAAATTCAGTATGAATAATTATAACACACAGAGTTTGTCTGGTGACGAGCAAGTCGCCAGATCGTCTATGAAACACAAGATGGACACTGATCCATCTGGTTCAAGTGGCGCTGCTGCTCTCTGCACAACTACAGTAACTTAAGAGCGGCTGAAAAAATGTCAAACATCCGCACACATGGACGCAGGATTTTAGCCAACAATAACGACAGCTTTTTCTAGAAAACTACGTATAAAACCTTTAAATCCTTCTGTAAAAACTGGAGAACATATTTCAGAAGTGATGAGAGAAAAAAAAGGCAGGAAAGACCTGAAGTTTCATCCTGTAAGACTGACAGCGAGGAAAGCATCAGAGTTCACAGACGAATAGAAAAAACAACAGCTGATATGTTGTAAAACCTTTGTTCAAGCACTGAAATATATAAATATATAAATAAATATATATATGAGAGCAGCATGTATGAGTGTGTGCTCTTTGAAAGGTAGAAGGCTGTTTTTAATTAACAGCAGATGTTTTTTTGGGTGTTGAAACAGGAAGATGCCTCAGCGAATAATTGAAGTTTAACATTTTTGAGCAGCGGTGTTCTTGTTCTGACTCTGTGACGCCTCAGGAGGTTTCTCTTTCTCTGCACACCTCTGCCCTCTCCTTATTTCTCTCTCTGTGTCTGAGGGTGAGAATAGTTAGTTAGACATAAGATTGTTTTTTTTAAATATCAAACCCTTCTAATTTTCAGTATCATGAGGTTTTTTTTTTTTCCAGTGTTTTGTCTGTTGCCTTGTGCACTGGTTTGAGAAAAAGAAATGACAGTCCTCCCACTGCTGACTGTTTTTGTGATTAATGCAACCAATTAAACTTTATTTTATGGCAGCATTTCCTCTAAAAACAAAAAAACTGTAAGGAAGTCTGTCTAAAACTTTTAGTGTGTCTTGTTCAGTATGTCGTTTTATTCCTAAAATGTCATAATTTTTATTTGAATATCATTTACAAGGAACATTCAACCCCAGATTTGAAAACACTAAATGCCTTTTGTTTCCTAATGAGTTACAAAATAAGTAATGTAACATAATACTGATACAAAATGCTTAGCTTAGCATAAAGACTGAAAGCAGTTGGTTCACTACAAACTTCAGAGATATGCCTACTAAGCAGGTGTATTAAAACAACATGTGAGGCTACGTTGTTGGAGGGGGTTTGTGTGACTCATACAGGGGCGGTCCTAGACCATTTGGTGCCCTAGGCGAGCTGTCCAAAGAATTGCACATTTATTTAAACAATGATAATACAAACAATATAACAATATGTGCAAAAGAATAACCCTGTTCAATAATAAATATACATATTTTTAACAGTAGTGCACACTAAAGAATCAAAACAAAAAATCTAACTAACAATAAAACATTGTGTGCAAAATTAGATTCTGTAAAATGTGATTCATAAAATCTATTATAATATAATATACAAAATAAACAAATAAAGTTCAAACACCCCAAGTGAATAGAATAATATATTCTACTTCACACTAATATCACACTTCATTCACAATGCAATCTTTCTGGCCTTCCTTCATCAATAACCTCCTCGTAGGAGATCTGACCACCAACCTCATGGTTGATCCTGATTGTGGCCGGACCACTGAGGCGTTATTGAGCCTTTACGTAACTTTCTCTTTTGGACGTTTCTCCTGCTCTTCTTTTCTGTGCTTTCGAAAGTGCGTCGAGACACAGCCGACCGACCGACTGTGCATCAGTGTGCGCGCTAGCATGTTGAGACCGTGACGTGTAACAGCTAAAGGTCACGTCAGAATTGTCATTTCTTTTACTTAAGTTTAATTTATTTTTATGTCAAAGTATTGTTGAAGGGGGAGGGATGGCAAAAACTGTTGAAAAAATAAATAGAAATTATAATTTTAATTTTAATATTTTTCGCCCCTCACTAGGTGGCGCCCTAGGCAAGCGCCTATGTAGCCTGTAGGAAGGACCGCCACTGGACTCGTATTTGGGTTTGAAGACGCCAAAACGCTGAAAAATGACTAAATGCTCTGAGACAACATAATAAAATAATAATCTACAATAGTAATTGTCCTGGAAAGTAAGCGTGTGTGCGTTTGACGGCCTGCTTTCTGTAATGTTCCTGTACTTTATGTGGACCGTTGCCAAGCCACAGCCGGCCGCTCAACGTTTCTGTTGGAAGACCTTTAGCGGGAGAAGTCTGTGTTAGCACCAATGCTATGTCGCCTCCTAAACGTTAGTCTGAATGTGGCCTGTGAGACCTCTAATGCTCACTAATTAATTAAATAGATATCTTTGGTTTAACCTGTACAAAAACAGGAACATAAAAATGACAAGTTGAATAAGGTAACTTGTTGAATAGCGAGCTTTACATGTGTTAGCAGCTGTTTCCAGTTGTTTATGCTAAGCTAAGCTAACGGGCCTCCTGGTTCTAGCTTCATACTTGACACACAGACACGAGAGTATTGATCTGATGTCAAACTATTAACATCAGCAACTTTTATTGCTACTTTCACTGTTGTTTGTTGTAACTTGTATCTCGATGAAACAGGATTTCTGTGTTTTGTTCTCTACAGCTTCACCAAGACAAGCAGACAAGCATCACGGACACACACACTTCTTTCTTACACTTTACTACCACTAATTAGTCTAAACTGCGAGGCAGCTCGGTGTCGACAGGCTGTAAAACTGCTCCTGGTAATAAAAGACTAACAACAGGTTCACTACCTGCTCGGCTCTCTAATGAGCTTCATCGTTCCTCTAAATAGTCTCGTACGACTGGTTTGTAACTGTGTCGTCGTGGCAAAGCAACTGGTTTTTATTTTCTCTCCCTGTTGCTGTTGCACTGTTGCACATCAGACTATCGCCATGGAAACCAGACCTGTGGAGGGCTTTGTATAATTTTTCTGTATTTTCTTTTTTTATATATATATATAATCTCCTCTAATCCTGGACCAATTAGTTTCAGACCAGGACAGAGAGGAGGAACGTCTCTCTCTCTCTCTCTTCTTGCCTTGATGATTTTCTTTTCTTACTTCTACGTGTCTCCAAATCTGTCTCTCTCTCTCTCTCTGTCCTTTTCCCTCTTTCTCTCTGTCTCTCTCTGTTTCTCTCTCTTTCTCTGTCCATCTAAATCTGTTTTCTGTGGCTGGTTTCTGCCGCACACTGACACGCACACACGATCTTTCGGATCATCCCACATTCATTTTGCTTGCTTCCTATTAATCCAATTAGTTCTAAGAAAT